ATGCAGGATTTCAACCACCAAAGACCTCTGCCCAAACTTTACCCTCCTGCTCCTAGCCAGGAGCCAGGTTAGAGCACCCTACTTATTCTCTTTACATCTCTCTCTATTTTTAATTTTTAAAAATTTTTAACTTAGCTCTCTGCTGCTCTTTTGTCTTTCTGATTCTTACATTTCCTCCTGTCCCATGGATAAGCCAATCAGCAGCCATCTATATTTGAGTTCTGAGCGGCCCCATTCGCGCGGTGCACTGCACAGTCTTCGTTTTTTGACCCCACATTTTTTTTCTTCTCTTTCTATTATTGTTATTGTCTTTTTTTTTTTCTTTCTTCTTTTTTTTTCCTTTTTTTTTTTTTTCCTATTTCTTTTACCTTTCTCGCTTTTCTGCTCAGCCTCCATGCACTGATTTTCTAGACAGGTCTAGGTGCTCAGTAACCAAATACCTGAATATTTTTAGGGTCAGATTAATCTTCGATTTTCATTGAATCAGCTGTGCAAAGAGAGAAATACAGTTCTGTTTACAGACTGCAGGTCACCTCCACCTGCATTCCTCTGATTGCTCAGATTTAACTCAAAAAAAAAATAGGAAAAAACATATAATCCATCAGATGACCAGAAACCACCACAGAGGCACAAGAAATATGGGAAACGGAGAAAATCCCTCTCCTCCAAAGGAAAAGAATAACTCCTCTTTCTCCACAAAGAATACAAGGGAACTCATGGAAATGTCAGATAAAGAATTTAAAATATTCATAGTGACAAAGCTAACAGAGATGCAAGAGAAGAGAGACCACAAACTCCAGAAGATGCAGGAGAACAGAGACACCAAGTTCCAGAAGATGAGGAAATTCTTGCACAATCAGAAACAGAAGACACACATCATAAAAAAGAATCAAACAAAATTATTAGAGATGAAGGCTGTAGTACAGGAAATCAAAACTTCCCTTGAAAATATCAAAAGCAGGGACCAGCAGTTAGCGTAATGGCTATGTTGCTGGACTCCCACGTATTCAACCACAGTTCACGTACCGGACCCGGTGGCTTAAAACTCACACTGGGCACGTGTGTGTGCGTACCCAAGATCCCAAGAGGAGAACGGAGGAGAAGGGATTGCGGTGTGGCCATCCCCCCCCGGGAGCTGATTTCTTGCTTTCTGTCTCTCTGTCTCTCTCTGTCTGTCTGGTGAGCGCACGTGCCCTATAGCTAAAACCTCTCCAAAAAATATATATATATATCAAAAGCAGATTAGATCATGCAGAAGATCAAATTTCAGATGTGGAAGATAGAACCTCTGACCTAGAAAAATTCACCAAAAAGACTGAGAAAACAACCCCAAAAAATGAGAATAACATATGAGTAATACTAGATATCATTAAACACCCAAACATCCAGATCATCGGTATCCCAGAAGGTGAAGAAATTAATAAGGGTATTGATAATCTATTCTATGAAATCCTAGAAGAAAACTTTCCAAACCTAGAGAGGTACTCAAGTATCCAGACCCAAGAAATACAAAGGACCCCATGTAGAATCAACCCAAGAAGATCTTCCCCAAGGCTCACTCACCAGATTGACCAAAACCACAGATGGAGACAAGATTCTAAAACTGGCAAGAGAGAAACGTCAGGTTACTTTCAAAGGTTATCCCGTAAGGCTATCGTTGGACCTCTCGTCAGAAACAATGCAAGCAAGGAAAGAATGGGAAAATATATGCAAAGTGTTAAGTGGAAAACAATTTCAACTCTGAACACTATACCCAGCAAGATTATCTTTCATATGGGAAAAAAAGACATAAACATTTTCAGATAAATCAAACCTGAAAGAATTTACCAACACCAGATCAGCTCTCCAAGAAGTGCTAAAGGAAGTGCTATACCAGGAAAACTAAAGTCAGACACACAGAAATAAGAGTACAAGAAACAACCAAGAGAATGGCCAGCCTAATGGTAAGGACAAGTCCAGAGTTGAATGTTGCCTTCCAGAATTTAAATGGAAAGATCGGACCACAGGAGCACCGCAAATTCAATAGAAGAGAGATTAATTATGTAAGTCTGAACTAGTGAAATAGAATTTTTTACTTTAGACTAAAACATTACTGTTTTTCTTTGATGCTTTGATTTCCATATTTAAGGATTTTTGTCTTCTCTTGAACTGTTGATAGGTTCATCTACCTACTATTTGAACTGAATCCTAATCTTTTCCCTGGCTTTAAGTTTTAAGCAAATTTCTCTTAACATTTTAAAATTTTGATCTATTAAAACAAAAACTTTTCTTTTGAAATTAAAAAATTCATTAAAAAAACCCTATTATATGGTATATTCACTGTACTCGCTGAGGTTTACACCTAAAGTCAGACATACATTCATGAATATGTATATATCAGCTGTGCTTGCTATTGAAAGTCTTTAATTAAGACTTTTAGTGAATCAATAAAATGTGAAAAAAAAAAAGGTATGGAAAACAACTGTACATACCAGAGATAGCGTGGGAGAAGGTGGGGAGTTGGCAGAGGGTGAGAGGTGGGGAATCAAGGGGGCAAAAATAAAGCAAAATATATAAGAAACAAGAAATAGAAAAATTTTTTAAGAGGTTTTTGCTATGGGGCGCGTGCGCTCGCCAGACAGAGAGAGACATAGAGACAGAAAGTGAGAAATCATCCTCCAGGGGGGATGGTCACGCCGCAATCCCTTCTCCTCCGTTCTCCTCTCGGGATCTTGGGCACGCACGCACACGCACCCGGCGTGAGTTTTAAGCCACTGGGTCTGGGACGCGAACCACGGTCGACTACATGGGAGTCCAGCGACATAGCCATTATGCTAACTGCTGGTTCCCTAGAAAATTATTTTTTGATGGTAACATGTATGGTAATATCCTTGATTGAGCCAATATACAATGTATACTGGATGGAAAATCTCTTTTTGTATACTGTACTGATGTACAGTGAATGACAGTAAACAAATAGATAAATTTAAAAGATAAAATAAATAAAAATAAATTAATTTTTAAAAAGGCTTATGAAAAAATTAAATTTCTAGAGCTGGCCTGGTAGCACAGCAGGTAAGCACTGTACATTGAGAGCAAGATTGAATTCTGGCCTTGGCAGCTTGGAAAACTGGGCATATGTACACGCACGCCCAAAATCCTAAAGGGATGAAGAAACGGAGAAAAAGGGATTGTAGTAGGCGTGTGACCACGCCTACTGTGGGAGTGCTTTCTCTCTCTGACAAGCACACATGTGCTCTGACAATAAAATAAAATAAAATAAAATAAAATAAAATAAAATAAAATTTCTAGGCCCAGCTGCAGCGGTACACACCAGTAGACACTGCTCCTCACAGGCTGAGGCCACATGGGAGGCCCAGGCTGGATTCCCAGCCCATCCTAAAAGCCAGGTGCTAGGGCACACACCTGTGGTCCAGTGATGTGGGAGGCTGACGCTGGAGGATCACAACATCAGTGAGACCCTATCTTAAACAAATACATGATTTCTGGAAGGACGGCGGGTTATGAAAACATAGACTGTTAACAGTGAGTGGCTTCTTCTGGGGAAGGAACTGGAGGGCTAGAATTTTTCTCAATAAATTCTGTGTTGGGGCCAGCAGACAGCATAGCAGTTACATCACTGGCCAACCATGGTTCAAGTTCCAGACCCGGTGGCTTGAAACTTACACTGGGCACACGTAGATGCATGCCCAAATCAAGGAAGAAAATGGAGAAGGGATTGCAGTGTCCCCTTAAGGGATGATTTCTCACTTCCTTCTCACTGTCTCTGTTGCTCTCTCTCCTGTGAGCACACAAGCCCTAAGGCAAAAATCTCTAAAATAAATAAATAAACAAATAAACAAACAAACAAATAAATAAATAAATTGTTTTGTTTTACCATGTATAATATACATATTTATTTTTTAGAATTATTTATTTACTTAATTTTTATTTGTTATTATTATTCACTTTTTAATTTGACCAGAGATAGACAAAGGGAAAATGAGAAAGCAAGCCACCAGGTCCAGGACTTGAACCACTGTCGGCCATGTGGGAGTCCAGAGCCTTAACCACCATGCTACCTGTCAATCTCAATATACATTTTTTTTTTAAGAATTATTCTATTTAACTAACTTTATTTCTTTCTTTCCTTCTTTCTTTCTTTATTCTATTTGACCAGCGAGGTACAGAGAGAGAGAGAGCATGAGAGCGAGCCAGAAAGTAATCCACCAGGTCCTGGACTCAAACTGTGGTCGGCCATGTGGGAGTCCAGCACCTTTAACCACCATGCCAACTTCCAGCCCCCTATTTATTGATTTTAATTTGACCAGAAAGGGACAGAGTGAGAGAGAGAAAGTGAGAAAGCAAACCGCTAGGTCCAAGACTTGAACCATGGTCAGCCATGTGGGAGTCCAGTGCCCTTAGCCACCACACCACCTGCTGGTCCTCCAGTATGCATATTTCTTAAACAAAACAAAACTACTCAAAGAAAAGCACCCCCAGAGCTGTATCCTTCCCCAGTAAGGCAAGGCATGGGTAAGACCTCTTACCACTGAATGGGTTGTCTCCCCCAAAGAAATCGTGGAAAACCTTCTCAGGGTTGCCGTGGAAGACGTAACCCCTGGTCCATGGAGTCTGGGATCCGAACTCCAGAGGAATGCCACCCTTCAGGCCCTCCTCGCCGAACTTGTCATAGATGCTTCTCTTCACAGCTGTGGAGGGAGTCACTTTGAGGATGGCTCAGCCCTGGGCACTGGGATAGTGGAGGGGCTGAAGACCAGGGGACGTGGCACAGGGAAGTTCCAGCTGCCTGGTGGCCTTTGGAATCAGAACCAAGAAGTCAGGGGTTCGATTCCATTCCTGGTGGGCCTAGGCACGGGCCTCTAGAGCCCAGTGGACAGACAGGAAAGACTAGTTTGGGGAGGGTGGGGGTGGGGATTGGAGGAAGGACAGAGACTGAGAGCCCGGCACAATCCTGGAATTTGGCTTCACTCAGTCACTACTCAGCCGTTGTCTGATATCAGGCAAATAATCCACAACCTGGACATTTTAGTCTAAGAGTCCTAGAGCTTCCTAGAGCTTCAAAATCCTAGTCTAAGGACTCTAAAGTGCTGGGACCTTGGGCCGGAGCAAACTCGGTGCCCTTCTAGCTGTTCTGCCAGGCCTGAAGAAGCTGGGTTGGGCGGGAGTCACACTGTCCCCGCTCTGCTGACTTCCATTAAAGACAGAGGTCCTGCTGACCGCGGTACCCCTGGGCCCATGTATGCTCCAGCTCTCCTCGAGGAGAGGGAGATGTAGCCTCGTGGGACATCTGGACGACAAGGGGCATGTCTGCTTGGCCTCACTCGTGCCTGGAGAGGTTCTGTCCCTGCAGGGCATGGGGGAGCAGGGAATGTGGCCAGTCCTGCCCTGCCCTGACTGTGACAAGCCACCCCTCCACCTTAGCTTGTGTCTCCTGAGAAAGGCTCTCCTTCATTCTGTTGTCTCTGTTGAGATTCTGGGCCAGAAGGAGGTAACTTCTGTCTACTGGGTCCCAGAAAACCCAACTGTCTTGGAAACAATCCTGATGGAAGTGAGGGCACCCGGGGAGATGGACAGCATGGCTCCTTGAGCACAGCCCTGGTCACTCACGGTCACTCAGCACGTCGTAGGCCTCCGCTATCTGCCTGAAGGTCTCAGGTGCAGTCGGCTCGCTGGACTTCAGCGGGTGATTCTTCAGGGCAAGTTTCCGGTACCTGGAGCAGGACGGGTTACTACAGTGGGAGCAGCTGGCCTGCTCCTGCGGGAGGCCCCAGTCCATAGCTACAATGAGGTGCTTGGGGGCTACGCTGGCCACCCTGGGACTCCGCTAAGCTCTCCTGCAGGGAAGCTGCTGGAGGGAGGTGGCTGGCAGCCCCAGCAGCTGCCCCTGGCCATCTGTGCTGTGGCCACATTTGCCCAGCTGCCCAAGCCATGCCTAAGCGAGGTGGACCCACTAGTGAGGTCATCCCTGCACTAATGGGACTCCTCCAATTTAGTGCAGCCTCCCCCCCCCCCCCCCCCCCCCCCAGCCAGCAGCAGCAGCAGCTCCCCTCCTCTCCCTACCCTTCCCCTTCCCTAGCTCCTTTTACAGGTGGGGTCTGCCCGGTGGTCTGAAGGCTTCCCCTGCACTCCTGCTCCCTCCCTTCATCCTTCACAGGGTTCCTCATACACATTTTTTAAAAAGAATTATTTTATTTAACTTTATTTATTTTAATTTGACCAGAGAGGGACAGAGTGTGAGAGAGAGAGGGAAAGTGAGAAAGTAAGCCACCAGGTCTGAGATTCGAACTGTGGTTGACCATGTGGGAGTCCAGTGCCCTTAACCACCATGCCACCTGCCACCCCCCACACACACACACACACATTGTACACCCCAACCCCTCTGCTTCTCAGAGGTCTGAAACTGACACGCGGGCTTCTTAGGAGGCTGAGGTAGAATCAGGGACGCTAAGGGCCTGGTACCAAGAGGCACCCCACCCTGCCAGGCCCTGTGCCACCTCCCGCTCCGTGTCGCTCTGTGTTCATTTTCCCCACCATGGATCCACCCAGCGCTGCTACTGAGTGACACCATGACCGTAGCATCTGTGTCCCACTGTCCCAGAGGGAAGTGATGGCCCGCACTCCCTACAGGGTCCTTTGTAGGGAGTTTAATTCAGGGATCCAGCTGTGGGAGGGTGAGGGAGACCAAGGGGACAGCACAGTCCCTGAGGCTGGGGACCTTGACCACCCTGATCTTCTAGGAGTGAGGGACGAGTGGTTACTGGAGCCTGGCACCTTCACTAAGGAACAGAGGCAACCCAAAGGGACCCCAAAGGAAGGGATCTAGGGAAGAAAGACCACAAGCCCACAGTCCTCCCTCTGATCCCTGCTTGTGCCCCCTTGGCAGGGCGTGGAAGCCCATGGCAAGGAGGCCCCGAACATAGGGCAGGGTGTGGGCGGTGGGAGGGGGTCTGCAGGGGCACCGACTGGGTGGGGTCCTGCTCCCTTATCCAGCAGGCCATGGTGTCGGCCCAACACCTCCCTTTTCCTTTATCTTCTGGTGAGCCAGTTAACCGTCATTCTCTCCCCACGCCCCCATCCCCTGGAGAGCTTTCCTGTTTCTGAAAAACCATTTTTCCTATAGGGCACATGTGCTCACCGGAGAGACAGTGAGAGACTAACCCTTCTCCATTCTCCTCTCAGGATTTTGGACATGAACATACATGTGCCTGGTGTGAGCTTCAAGCCTCCAGGTCTGAGACTTGAACTGGGGCAGCCATGTGGGAGTCTTTAACCACTACGTCACCTACCAATGGAGACCTTTAATGCTACCGCAGCCTTACCTTTTGCCTTGATTACAACAGCCTCTTAAGGGGTTTCCTCCCTCCACAGTGCTTCCACAGCACCGGGCCTCCCCTTTTGTGACACGCATCCCAGCAGGGGAGACTTACTCAATATCTATATTCACGATTGAGCTGCATTTGGCATGGCTAAGGCACAGATGCCACACGGCCAACAGTGTGGTTTGAGTTCCAGACCCACTGGCCTGAAAAAATGCTACGCTGGGCGGAATCCGAAAGAGAAATGGAGAACCGAGTGCAGTGTGACTATGACTCATATGGGGGCTTTCTCACACCCTACCCCCAGCAATTGCAGGTGTCCTCTGGTAAATTAAAAATTTAAAAAGTTGGGACCAGCAGATGGCATAATGGTTACGTTGCTGGGCTCCCATGCAGTCGACTGAAGTTCGAGTCCTGGATCCAGTGCTACAACCTCACGCTGGGAGCATATATGTGTGCCCAAGATCCTGAGAAGAGAATGGAGGAGAAAGGATTGCAGCGTGGCCATCCCCCCTGGGGGGGGTGGTGATTTCTTGCTTTCTGTCTCTTCAGCAAGCACACACTCCCATACCAAAAATCTCTCCAAAAAAAAAGTAAGCTGCATGAGGTAAGGGAGCATCCCTGTCGGGTTCACAGATTTGCAGCTGCCGCCACTCACCACTCACCTAATCCACATGGCAGGTGCTCAATGATATTCATCCAGAAACATTTGGGCAGGATCAGCTGCAGTGGTACTTGCTGCTAAGATGCTACTACTAGGGGAAGCAGCAGTTAGCGTAATGGCTATGTCGCTGGACTCCCACGTAGTCGACTGCAGTTTGCGTCCCAGACCCAGTGGCTTAAACTCACGCCAGGCGCATGTGCGTGCGTGCCCAAGATCCCGAGAGGAGAATGGAGGAGAAGGGATTGTGGCGTGACCATCCCCTCTGGGGGGTGATTTCTCGCTTTCTGTCTCTATGTCTCTCTCTGTCTGTCTGGCGAGCACATGCGCCCTATCACTCCAAAAGAAAAAGAAAAGAAAAAAGATGCTACTGAGAGAAGGCTGAGGCCCTATGAGAGGCCTGGGTTGCATTCCTGGCCCAATCTACATAGGCTGGGAGTAGTGGTTGGCGCCTCTGGTCCTAACTAACTGGGAGGCTTGAGTAGGAGTTATGTGACATGGTGAGACCCTATCAAAAAAAGCTCTCTTAGGGGCCAGCAGGTGGCGTGGTGGTTAAGGAGCTGGACACTCCACATGGCTGACCATAGTTCAAGTCCCAGAACCTGGTAGCTTGCTTTCTCACCTTCCCCCTCTCTCTCTGGTCAAATTAAGATTAATGAATGAATAAATGAAAATTAAATAAATAATTCTTAAAAAAAAAGCTCTCTTAGATGAAAGCAAACTTTTGGGACCACCAGATGGCATGATGGTTATATTGCTGACGTTCAAGTCCTGGAGCTGGCAGCTTGAAACTCATGCCAGGTGCACATGCCCAAAATCCCAAGAGGAGGGGCCAGCAGGTGGTGTGGTGGTTAAGGGTGCTGGACTCCCACATGGCCAACTGCGGTTCGAGTCCTGAACTTGGCGGCTTCTTTCTCACTTTCTCTCTCTCTCGCTTGTCAAATTAAAATAAAGTAAAATAAAATAATTATTAAAAAAAAAATCCCAAGAGGAGAATGGAGGAGAGATCGTGCCATGGCCTTCCCCCTCGGGGATGATTTCTCACTTTCAGTCTTTTTGTTTTCTCTCTCTAGTGAGTGCATGTGCCCTATAACAAAAAAACTCATTAAAAAGTTTGCCTTTTTTTTTTTCTCAGAAAAATATAGTGACTCCTGTCCTAGATTTTCTTTTTTCTTTTTTTTCTCTTTTTTTAGAGAGATTTTTGCTATAGAGTATATGCGCTCGCAGGAAAAACAGAGAGAGACAGAGAAACAGAAAGTGAGAAATCACCCCTGGGTGGGGGGCTGATGGCTGCACCACAATCCCTTTCTCCTCCATTCTTCCCTCAGGATTTTGGCCATGCATGCCCATGTGCCTAGTGTGAGGTGGTAGCCACCAGGTCTGGAACCCTAACTTTGGTCAACCATGTGGGAGTCCAGCAATGTAACCATTACACCATCTGCTGGTCCCCCTAAATTTTATTTTTCTTTTTTAGGTTTTTGTCATAGGACATATGGACATATGAGATCACTGGAGAGAGACAGAGAGAGGGAAAATGAGAAATCACGCCCCGGGGGTGTGTGGCCATGCCGCAATCCCTTGCCCTCCATTCTCCTCTCGGGATTTTGGGCACACGTACATGCACCCAGGATGATCCCCAAGCTGCTGTGTTGAGGACTCGAACTGTGGTCGACCTATGGGAGTGTAATGCCTTAACCACCATGCCACCTGCTGGGCCCTTGTCCTAGATTTTCTTAGGCATGGGCCAGAGTCCCCAAAACTTGTGGAAAGATCCAGAGATGCAGTTTAGTCAACACCAAAACCCATAAGATGGCAAGAATGAAATTTGTAATCGTCCATCCCTCTGGTGAGGCCATCCCTCCATTCACAATCCCTTGGTTCTCTGTCATATTCAGGAGATAGTTTCAAGGGTTCTTTTGTCCCTATTGTATTTTTAGGAACACCAGGGCACCCAGGAGAGGGGACAGGGCCTAGAGAAGAGTGTTGGGAGCCTAAGGACATTCTGCAGGAGGACTAAGGTCTGTATTTCTAGCCTGGGCCTGGGTGGTACCCAGCCCAAAGCCACGATACAGGTGAGCAAGAAGCAAGAGAAACCGCGAGGTCTACATTGCCTGCCGAGCTGCAATGGAAGCTTGTGTGTAAGGGAGGAGGGCAGGCCTGCCCTAGCACATCCCTGTGGCCGGGCTCCTGACTTACGCTTTTTTAATCTGGGCATCCTCTGAATTGCGAGTGATCTGGAGCACAGAGTAATAATCCTGGCCCATGGCTGGCGGGCAGTGAGTTGGTAGAGTCTTCAGGCTCCTGCAAGGCTGTTAGTTGGCATTCCTTGGTTGCTCCTGGCAACCACACAGAGGCACTCTGGGAGTTGTAGTCCTACCTTGTAAACAAAAAGCCATCTGGGCTCTGCCTCGCAGAAAGTGAATGAAAGGCCTGGGGGGAAAGCTGGAGCTGATTCTGTGTCCTTGATAAAGGTCACTTGACTCAAAAAACAGCCACGGAATACCATTTTATTTTATTTTTAAGAAGAGCAACGATTAGTTTTAATTAAAAATTTTCAAGACAAATACATTTGTCTTGTTTTTTTCAGAATTATTTATTTTATTTTATTTATTCATTCATTTATTTTAATTTTACTAGAGAGAGACAGAGAGAGAGAGAGAAAGTGAGAAAGCAAGTCACCAGGTCCGGGACTCGAACCATGGTCAGCCATGTGGGAGTGTCCAGCACCTTAACCAGCACACCACCTCCTGTTCCCCTTGTCATGATTAAAAAAAAAAATTGTTACGATTTTTTGTTTGTGTTTTTGTTTTTCATTAAGTATTTTTTAATTTGACCAGAGAGGAACAGAGTGAGAGAGAGAGAAAGTGAGAAAGCAAGCTGCCAGGTCCAGGACTCAAACGGCATTTGGCTATGTGGGATTCCAGTGCCCTTAACCACCACACCACCTGCTGACCCCTGTCATGATTTTTTTTTTAATTTTTTAAAGAATTATTTATTGGGGGGGTGGCAGGTGGTATGGTGGGTGAGGCGCTGGACTCCAACACGGCTGACTGAGGTTCAAGTCCGCAGCCACATATATGGGAGGGCAGTAGAAATCACCCCTCGGGGGATGGCCACACTGCAATCCTTCTCCTCCATTCTCCTCTCAGGATCTTGGTCACACACGTCTGGCATGAGATTAAGCCACTGGGTCCGGGACTTGAACCGCTGTCGACTACATGGGAGTCCAGCGACACAGCCATTACGCTAACTGCTAGTTCCTATTTTTTTTTAATAATTATTTTATTTAACTTTATTATTTATTTTTTATTTGACCAGAGAGGAACAGAATGAGAGTAAGAGAAAGAGAGAGAAAGGGAAAGCTACCAGATCTGGGACTCGAACCACGGTCCGTCATGTGAGAGTCCAGCACCCTTAACCACCATGCCACCTGCCGGCCCCAAATTCATTACTATTTTTAAAAATTTGATCAGAGAGAGACAGAGTGGGGGAAAGTGAGAAAGCAAGCTGTCAGGTCTGGGACGCAAACCACAGTCAGCTATGTGAAAGTCCAGTCCTTAGCCACCATGCTACCTGCCAGCTCCCAAAAAGGGAAGCTTTACCGAGCATGAGACTATTATGAACACTAGTGGCCAGATCATTCACTTCACAGCTGGTTCCATGGGAGTTAGAGGTGCTTCTCCCATGAAGTCACAAGGGGGCATCTGAGAGCCAAGAAACGAGGTCCAGCACAGAATCTCGTGGGCCCTGCAGTGATGTGGATGGGAGCTGTTCTTCCCTTTCTTACCCAAAATGTACTCTTTGGCCCTCGAGGAAAAACAAAACAAAACAGAAACAAAAAAAACCAAAAACAAAAAAACCCAAACTGTGTCTGCTGAAAACGGAGGCTCCTTCCATTCACAATAGACAATGACTACCAGGCACCTAAGAGCTGGCCTCTGCTCCTGTTGGATCTCAGAGCCATGTCAAAGGTCAGTACCATCCATGACAACCAAGACATTGATTCTGGAAATCCACACAAAGTGGCTCATGAATGTGATGGCGACCTAGAAAAGTGAGCCCTGCGTTGGGAAGTCAAGACATTCACTCTCTGTGTGGACTCAGTCCTGTCCTCCCTCTTCCTGTTTTCCTAATCTGAGGTTCCCCAGGGCCTCCTAGGATTCAATGTTTCCAAGTTCTGGAATATGTCCCTCCAGTTCACCTAAGCCTATCATCACAAATCATTCTTTTTTTTAAATTCTTTAATTTTTATTCATTGTCATTATTTACTTATTTACTTTTTACTGAAGTTGACCAGAGAGAGACAGAGAGAAGGAAGGTGAGAAAGCAAACTCCCAGGTCTGAGACTCGAACCACAGTCAGCCATGTGGGAGTCCAGCCACCTTAACCACCATACCACTTGCCGCCCCCACAAATCATTCTTGAAGATGAAACTGCTCTGGTCACAGGGGTCTTGGGCTACCTGCTCGTGACCACAGAATAGAGCAGAGGAGCATAGGCCCTGCAGCCTGACCAAGGTCCACATAAAGGCACTGCATTTCCTGTCTTGGGCCTCAGTTTCCTTATCTGAATAAAACAGGGATATCTGCTTTTTAAGTGTTTTGAGGACTAAACATATAACTATAGTACCTAGAGTAGATACTCAATACCTTGCAGTATTTTCTTTTTACACTTTGATTTAGACATAAGCAACTGGGAATTTAAAGACACAGTTTCTACTATTTCTGACCTTTGGCAAATGATGCCAGCTCTTCGGAGCCACACCATCTACATGTCCCGGTGCAGTTACAAGGATTCCATGAGGGGCTGAATGGCGGCACAGTAGTAAGATGACACTGTGCAGGGCTGATTTCCTTGGGAAGGTTCCAGGTTTACGTTTGGAGATGTCCCTGAGTACACCAGGCACACACGTGTCCATGATCCAGGGCTGGCTGGGGCTGGGTTGGTTGGCAGCATCAAGACCTTGCTGGGGTTTGTGGCAGTTTTCTGTTTCCCTCGTTCACCGTTCCCTCTCCCACTCACTCATGGAAGTAAATAACTTTTTTTTTTTTAAGGCAACTTGTTCCACAACCTAGGGTGGCCAGATCCCACATGGTTGATCATGAGTCAAATGCTGATTCTAGTAGCTTAAAAAACACACCAGATACACATGAACCCGTGCCCAAAATCCCAACAGGATGGAGAAATAGAGAAGGTATTGCAGTGTGACCATGCCCCATTGGGGTTACTTTCTCTCTCTCTCTTTCTCTCTCTCTCTCTGGCCACTATATGCACTCTCTGGCAATATTTTAAAAATAGGAAAGAACTGGGGGCCAGCAGGTGGCGTGGTGGTTGAGGGCGCTGGACTCCCACATGGCTATCTGTGTTCTAAGTCTTGGACCTGGCAGCTTGCTTTCTCACTTTCCCTCCCTCTCTCTGTCCCTCTCTGGTCAAATTAAAATAAATAAATAAATAAATAAATAAATAAATAAATAAATAAAATTAAATAAAACAATAAAGAAAAAAAAACAACAAAAAAAAGCGAAAACACAGGAAAGAATTACATGAAAAGATACTCTATCATATTATCACCCCAGCCAGGAATTACTTTCTTCTCTTAAATGAATCAAAATCTTATGGCCCAGAACCAGTGATGCATCCTCCAAAAAAGCTTTTCTCTAATAATCTCTAAAGTAGAGCTAATATAGCATCCCTCTGCTGGGCACTAAAATGAGGAAGATCTAAATGTACTCAGATGGAAAGAGCTCAGAGATATTACAAATAAACTATGGAATACATACACCATGAATCCAGTTTATATTTAGGGGGGGAAGAGAGAACCATCCCCTGCCTTTAAACCCTTTAGTGGTTCTGCACTGCTGACCAAGTGAAGTCCCTGCTCCTCGCCTGACATGCCAGCTCCTTCACTCCTCGGGCTCTGCCAAGCTCTCTGCCCTCATCTCCTCTAGACCAGCCTCACCACTGTCTATGCCCCGAGTTCCAGCTATGATGAAAGTGCCCCTCAGGGTGAGTGGTTCTCAACTTCGGCATGCATCTGTCACCTGGAGGGCTTGTGAAAAGAGAGATTGTTGGGAACCAGCAGTTAGCGTAATGGCTATGTCGCTGGACTCCCACGTAGTCGACCGCGGTTCGCGTCCCGGACCCAGTGGCTTAAAACTCATGCCGGGCGCGTGTGCGTGCGTGCCCAAGATCCTGAGAGGAGAATGGAGGAGAAGGGATTGCGGCGTGGTCATCCCCCCTGGGGGGGTGATTTCTCACGTTCTGTCTCTATGTCTCTCTCTATCTGTCTGGTGAGTGCACACGCCCTATAGCGAAAACCTCTCAAAAAAGAAGAGAGATTGCTGGTCGCACCCTTAGCACTTGATTCGGATCAGAGTAGGGTGGGGCAGGAACTTTAAGTTCTAACAATTTCCAGGTGAGGCCGATGCTGCTGGTCCTGAGACCACACTTCACAGTCACAGCTTTCATAACCGTTACGATTCAACTGCCTTGCCTACATACAGGCTGACCAATCGTGTCAGTTTGCCTAGGACTGCCCTGGTTTTGGCATCAAAAATCTCATGTTCAAGGCAAACTGGGAAGGTTGGTTACCCTGCCTGGATGAGAGTCTCTCTAAGCTGCTGCTGACAGGACACTGAGTGCTACTAGCAAAGGCCTATTCTATGGCCAGGCCAGTGAGGAGGGAGTGCCATTGTCTCGTATGACTTTTTGCTGGCAAAAAAGTAGTTACCATGGGCTAGCAGGTGGTGTGGTTGTTAAGGGGCTGGTCTCCCACATGGCTGACTATGGTTTGAGTCCTGGACCTGGTAGTTTGCTTTCTCATTTTCATTCTCTCTGATGAAATTTAAAATGAAAATAACAAATAACATTAAACAAAAATAACTCTTGGGACCAGCAGTTGGCATAATGGCTAAAAAACA